GCCCTTTTATAGCCGCCGCGGCCGGGTCCAACCCCTTGTCAGTGAGGGGGTGGGGAGGAGGGCCCCGCCCTCTCCGCCTCCTCCCCTGCGGCCCCCGGCTGACCGGCTCAGCCGCAGTGAGAGGGGCGGGGTAGGGGACCGAGGAGGGAAGGGGAATCGACGCTGCGTCAGAGGAGACCCCCGAGTTCGGGGAAGCGGGCAGAGGACTCCCGGAGTGGGCCAGTGAGGACCCCCGGGTACGCGTCGGAAGAGCCTGAGAGTGTGTTCGGAATGAGAAAGGGGACTTGAAACAGGGAGAGGACAAGGAGAAACCTGATGGGAATAGGGGCAGGATGCCCTCGGGATGGAGCAATGGAAGATTGCAGTCATTAGGATGAAGGGATCCCCGTATGAGAGAGGACACGAAGCTTTCCAAATAGTTAAGAGAAGCCCTTAGGATAGGGGGTGCAGAGACTGTGCAGCCAGCCCCGGAATAGAGGAGGGAGCAAGACAGTCCTGAATGGGAGCATGGACGCTCCATAGAACGGAGACAGGAGACCCCTGACCGGGGGAAGTACAGTGTTCTCCTAACATCTAGAGGACCCACTTGGAGAGCGCTCAGGAAACTCCGCGGCCAGCCCTGGAATAGATGAAGGGGGACCTGGAGTTGGGGAGAATACCAAGACTACCCTCAATGGGGGTATGGGAGACACTGCAGAGGCTGGAGAGAGGGAACCCCGGATGGGTGGGGTTGGGAGGGGGCAAAGCGTTCTATGAAAAGTCTGCAGTGGCCCCCCGAGAGAGGAGACAGGAGACCCTGTTGCCATCCCCAGTAAAGGGGACGGACCCTCAGCGAAGCGGGCAGAGGGTCCCCTGAATAGGCAGGAGGAAGCTGGGCTGAGTTTGAGGGGCAGATAACCCACAGTGGGGGTACCGTAGCGGGGCTTGAGCATGAAATTGAGAGAGCTGGCGCCTGTGTGGGGTGGGGGGAAATGATGGGTGTCACCCGAGCCAGGTTCTGCACACTAGGGTCAGCTAAGCAGTTTGCTAGTCGAATGACCTTGGACGAGCTGTATTCTCCCACCCTTGTTTTTCCATCTGTACAACGAAGAGGTCTTGCCCCAGAGACAAGCTCCAACTTCTGACCCCCAACTGCCCCAGGAAGTTCCACTTTGAGGGATCTCTGGCCGAATTGGGGATGGGGAACCCACATCTTGCCGTTCTCTCGCCACTATGAAGTCCTCTTTTCTCCCTCCCCCTCCCCATCTTCTCAGCCTCAACTTGTTCTCTGTTCCCCTACCCCCATAACAGACAAGCAGGCGCCTGAGTCGGCATCCCTTCTCGCTTCCAGGGAAGTGGTGGGATGCTTTCCAGGTACAAAAGTCCCTCACCCCACTAGGATGTCAGGTAGAAAAAGGGGTCCCCAGGACTTAGGGGGCCCTGCAACGGCTGTGACATTTGGTTCTTTATTGGTTTTGGCTAATGTTTTATGCCTTGGGAGTGGGGGTGGCGCTGCGGCTGGCGCTTCAGCACCGGGGACAGGGCCTGCTCTTTGCTGGGCGTGGGGAGGGGAAAGCGATTAACCTCTGCTTTTACTTTAGGGGAGGGAAGGGAGGCACGGAGTGCTCAGGGGACCCGAGAGGGGAGGCGAGTGATCCAGCAGGGTCACACAGTGAGTCAGGGACCCCTCCTTGGACTTCCTGTCAGGGGTCTAGTTCCCTGTTTTCTGGGCTGTTCTCCTCCTGCATAGGGACCCCTGCGAAAGGACCCCTGGGGATGTCGGGAGCCCTGAGACCCCCTTGAGAGTTTGTAGACTCCTACTTGCACTCTGAATCTCCCCCAGGCGGTTTTCTCAACCCCCACTACACCCCCACTTTACCCGAGTTTTCCTGCTCCAGGATTCCCAGGACAAAACAGACAGATCCCCCAGGAAAGACCTCTGCCAGTTCCTTTCTCTTTGCCCTCTGTCTCCTTCCAAGGCCCCTGGTTCTAAGCAGACCCTCAGAGCTGGGAAAGTGATGGCGCTGTCCCTTTAACCCTGTTTTACTGGAAGGAGAGTGCGCTGGGAGGAGGGAAGAGGGGGAGGGAGTTTCTGGTTTTGCATGAAGAAGCAGAACATGATGAAGCATTTTTCCCCCATCTAAAGATCCAGTCATGCTCCAGTTTGCAAGGGGCAACGGGCTGGTTGCAGGTGGTTCTGGGAGGATGGAGGTGAGTGGCTGGTCTGAGGTCCCTGAGAAAGGCATGGGGAGGGGGGTGTTGGGCAGGACTCCCTTGCTCTCAGATGGCTCCCCGTTTATTTGTCATTCTACTTGGAATTTTGCCATTGGAGCCTTGTTCCTCTGGGTCTTTTCGGTCTGCAGAATGCTGATATATTCTCTGGATGTGAGAAGGCTCACAAGCAGCTGACAGCAAAGAGGACTAGGGATTTGGGGTAAAAAGGGGGCTCCAAGAGGGACTGTTTTGAGGCCAGGGGGCTACAACCGTCAGATTGAAGCTGCCTATGTAGTCCAAGAAGCCCCAAGCATGACTCTTGTGGCTGAAAAAAATGGCATGAGGGCTTGAGCCCTGAGGTCCGGTCCCCCAAAGGACCCTTCAGTCTCACCTCCAGAAAGCCATCCCTGGCTGCCTTCACCCCCATATTTAGTTAATTGTCCCCTCCTAGTTGTTCCCATGGTTCCCAGGGCTCATCTCTAACGCTGCTTTTACCACTGTGTGTTGTGTGAATGAATCAATGAATGAATAAGTTCCGTCTATTCTCCAGCCAAACTTGTGGTCTAGAGGGGCTGTGAATGGTTCTGCCCTGAGTTCTTGGGGCTTGAATCACTTTCACCTTCCTCCCTGGGATTCTTACCATTTGGAAGTGAGTAGAATAATATATTCATCTATCTATCCGTCCGTCCATCCATCCATCCACCCACAGTTCTTGGAGTATATCTTCCCAGAGCCTGGACTTGGCAATGAGCATTGTGAATCTCCCAAAGGCAAGTAGAGTGTGCTGAGTTTCCCAAACTTCCTGCCCTTGGGCCCTTCTTGTCCCCATGTGTCTCCCGGACAAGGGTCCAGTGGCTCACAGTGAAGGACACACTGAGATTTGGGTCTCAGCCCCTGCTGTCCCTGGGCTTTTCTGGACCCCAAGGCTGGTGCTCTTCAGGAACGTACATGCAGGGTGAAGGATAAAGCAGTAAGCGCTTAAACAGCCACCAGCCTTGCTGTTACTCAGTGTTCATTAGGCAGGGATCATTGTCCCTATTTTATAGGCAAGTAGACTGAGGCCCGAGTGAGGAAGTGCGTTGCCTGAGTTGACTCAGTGACATAGCAGAGCCCAGTATCTCAACTCATCCAGACCTGAGCTGGCACAGGACACACAGGGTGGAAACTTGTTTCTCTTGCACAGTAGAGGCCAACATGGTCTGAGGGTAGAGGATTGAGAGACCATCAGAGAGGGGATGGGCAGCTTTCTGGGCCTGGGGCTGGGGTCTGGCCTCTGACAGATCACCCATCTGTGACTCTCTGTGGCCCATAACCCAACACCAGCATAGCCTGCGTGTGAGAACCCGCTTCCTGGCCCGGGTACCCTCTGACACTGTGTCACCTCTGTGGGAGCTACATATGACCACTGTTGGGGATGCAGATGCTAAATTCCTCCTTCTCTTTTGCTGCTTGGTTTTTCTCCATAGGACTTGACCTTTTCTGACACGCTACAATGTGTCTTATCTTCTCCACTAAAATAGAACTTCATCGGGACAGGGATTTTTGTTTGTTTTATTCACTGCTGACTTCTCCGGTGCTTGGAATATTGTCTGGCATACGGTGGGTGCATAGCAAGTAGTTTCAGGATGTCTGCGAGGCTCTGCCGGAGAGGCCCGTTATCACCCAGACATGTTAGCACTGGGCATCTGGACAGTTCCAGGCCCCAGGGAGGCTGCCCACAGGATGACTGGAGAAGGAGGTCTTGAAAGTGTGGCCCCCATCCTGGGGCCTGAAGCCTCCCAGCCCGAGCTGTGTGGTCCCCTTTGCTGAGGCTCAAACATTGCCAGCTCTACTGCCTGCAGACTCACCCTGCTCCTGCACTGCCTGTTCCTTTTTGTGTTCAGCAATTCCTTTTAGAAAGCGCTGA